GAATGCCTGAAAAAATAGGAAAATTGAAAAATTTATAACATCCCTATTCTTTTTTTGCCGTCATCAAGGCGGTAGATGGTGTCGTAATACCCTCGACCGTACCTGTCCCGTACCTGTCCCGTACCGTACCGTACAATCAAAGACGGCTGGCCACAATGCATATTCAAATAGGGCTTTCAAATACAAGATCATAACGTGAGGCAACTTGGAAGAATTAGTATGTATGCGAAGTGTATCGGGGGATGCATGCAGGGCGATAGTGCGGGTTCGAATCCCAGGTTATGTCTAAAAACAAAAAGTAGAAATTTATAAGAATTTATAACATCCCTATGCTTTTTTTGTCTAGGTCATCAAGGCAAAAAAGCATAGCGTAGGGCCCTGAGCTTCCAAGCTCTCTCGTTTGTCTGAAGTGGAGAGAAATTGAGTGTAGATGAGTGTATGTGGCTCCCTATAACGGGTCGGCTCCCTATAACGGGTCGGCTCCCTATAACGGGTCGGCTCCCTATAACGGGTCGGCTCCCTATAGCAGGGCGGGTTTGACCAAAAAAGGAAGTCATGCAAGTGCACACATGACGTCTTGACTGGGTCCTCTGAATGCAAGGGATCCATGACCTTGTATGTGTCATGCACACTCTGTGATTCAAATACAGTGAGTATCGTTTATAAAGTGACCGGGTGTAACGATATACCGGCTATAATGATAGAACTCGCCAAAATCAAAATCAAATCACAAAAAATACAGCTAAGATATCACTATACACACTTTTATCGGCTATACCGATATATCGCTCATTGTGATGGGCTTCAGGAAGCAAACCATATCAAATGCACAGGAAAATATCGCATATACTGATCAAGAGTGATGATCACAAAACAAGTGTTCTTCCAATATAGTTCACTTCTTCCAAAACTGATCCAGTGTTGCCTGGATGCATCAGGCAGCAGACGTGATTGAGAGAAAATTCTTCCCTGTATGCTGTAAGCAGCCACATGTACACGTGGCTGCTTTTCATGCTTTTTCCAGCATGTACGCATCATTTCATGCATAGTCATGTGCCATGTGTCAGTCATACATGCAAATCGGCTATAGTGATGCACCGGATATAGTGATAAATTATCGAAAATCAAAGGGGCACGTTATATCCACTATTTACTGTATAGCAAAAAGCAGATGTAGAAGGTCAACTAAAGGAGAACTGAAGATCAGTGGATCGCAATGCATTTCAGAATAATTAGCTCGTTTGACTTGTAATAGAGTGCGCCATCCTCGTACAAGTACCTCTCTCAATAATTTTCTTGATAAGTTGTTCATTAACACTTCCATAGTTTCCATCTTCTACCAGCCGTTTCATTAGCGTCGCTGCTCCCCACGCTTTGTTCAGAGCTCTTGCCTTGCAAACTAGTATACACTCATCTAGGCCTGCCCAGAACGTTTCTGCATTTCCATCTTTTTTGTCTTTGATTTTACCATGTTCGTTTTCCCTACTGCAATTCCACTGCCCTCCACCTCCACCATGCCCTCCCCCTGTTCTTCCACCTTTGCTTCAGTATAACCAAGACTACATAAACAGTGCCACCAAATGTAGTATGCGACCGAGTGACAAGGTAAAACTGGTCCAGTCTCTCCGACTCAAAACACAGGTAGTATTCTCAGGGAACAATATTGCACTTAGTGATTGCATAGGAAAACTCAAGTGACTGTTTATTTCAAGACATTCCCATAGCGCTGCACATCACATCCCAACCAGTTCCGTTATTTTTACATAACGGAACTGGTTCGGATGTGATGTGCAGCGCTATGGGAATGGGTGTGTCCACCCGAATTCTTTTCACAGATGAAGCTGCAGGAAGCCTCAGCCCTTCTTCAAACTATTTCAAGACAACTGCGGAAAAGCAACTAGACAAGACGAATTCAAGACGAAGACTACTTCTTATACCACAGCAACACGCACATGCACCAACATAACGTACACACGACGTACACAAAATAACGTACAGATTGAGCAAAATAATGTACTATATACGGTATAGTAAGTCTATCGATATACGGTACATACGGTATGGTACGGTAGAAAGTCCGTCTACTACACAGTGTTTATGTAGTCTTGGTATAACCCATCCCTCATCTCTTTCACAAAATCAATAGTTCCTTCCGTTGCCTGTTTTCGTGTGAGTGCAAATTGAGTCCCGGGGTCATGGAGGATTTCCTGGTTCTTCCATGTCTGTCACTGTGTACTCTGAGCTACCTATAAATAAAGCATAGGGAGAACACCCAACTCTGGATTTGTGTCTATAAGGCATAGGGAGAACACCCAACTCTGGATTTGTGTCTATAAGGCATACGATATGCCCGTCTAGCACTGTGCACTCTGAGCTGTCCATATATACGACTCAAACCGACCCGCTATAGAGAGAATACCCAAACCGACCCGTTATAGGAACAGACCTGCTGCTGCCGTGCTGGGTCCATCATGTATGTGGTATAATGATGGTATTGAGA